TAAGAACTTTTTTGAGTAGAATGAGTCATTTAAAACATCAAAGCTGAGGAAGACAGCAAACAAAAATTGAGTAAAAATGAAACAACAAATTAATTTGATTAATTTTTGTTAAAAATTTCTCTGATAAATACTTTCGTTTTGCTAATCGTCGTTCAAATACAATTCAATACTTTTATCTAATCTCTCTTACTCCTTCTGGAAAGCTTCGTAAATTCCGAACCGTATGATGCTTTAGAACATGAAAAGGAGACGAAGACTTGGAGGGATACGAAATGATTATATCACCCACAATGGTACCAACTACTGTGCGAAGGGTATTCCAACTATCACCATCCAAAACTGAATACATTCTGCAAGGCTTAAAACTGAAATTTTTGGAAATCCCTGGTACTATTATTCATAATTCAGTGTTTCTCGTAAATAAAATAATTAATCATTTCTGTCAGAGGTAAATAATTAGTGAAGCAATATCGGTATTACTATTGCAGAGAATTATTTTCACTTTGAAAGTTATCTTAAATCTAGACAAAAATTTGAAGAAATTTGAAATTTATAATTTTTCGAAAAATTTACATGACAGCTTGATGATCTGATCTCACAGTTACCACTTCTCTAATATCCACATCTGAACTTCCATCGAAAACATCCAACCGGAAAAGTTGTACTGCATTATTGACGCTCAATGTTACTAACTATAAAAAAAAGCAAAAATAATTATTTAGCTGTCTACGTGATTGAAATATACCACTGCGAAAAATATTACTACTAGGAAAGCTTAAAAAAATATTAATATGCCATCAAACACGTCCCTAAAATGTGCAAAAAAATATCATAATATCCCATTTGAAGATTACTAATTAAGATGAAGTTTGAATTGCACAGAATACAACCCAACCTCTACAGAATGACCCGGCTCCTCTTGTTTATTAAAAACATGCACGGCTTGGATCCAATCCTTAAAGGTAAATACATGTTTCTGCGGAATGCTGGAAAACTGACGTATCACAGCTACCAATTTTTCGCCATAGGCAAATAAAACATCTAAATATAACATCTAACAAGAAAAATTATCAAAAGCAACAAGAAAAATTATTAAATGATGCCCTAACTTTCACGGAAAACTATGTGCAATGTGCTAACTGAATAAGTGGATCAGATGAAAAGTCTTTTATCGATATACTATAGAACTAAAGGTTTTATATCTGGAAATATTCATACCGTGCCGTTATTAAAGTATTATAAAGTAGAAACAAACAAAACGATTCAAATGTCATAAATTATTGAAAAAAGATTACTTACTATCAGTAATTCTCTGCATGTCAGTTAAGAGAAAAGGAACATAGCCATACCTCGTTTATCAAGATAAGTTAATCCATATATATTGCATTTTCTTTCTTCAAAAACACACGTTTGCTGTTGTAAAAATAACAATTCATTATGATCCTTCTGATAAGAATCAACCATGCAACCATTACCTAAAATAGTATGCAAGATAATTTAATAGGAGAATTCGACTTAAAAGTGAAACAAAACATTACTTAGACTTGCAAATAAAGATAATTTAATATATTAATTTAGCGAATTGAGTTGAAATAAATTAAAAAGAGAATAAAACTTACTGGCTAGCAGAAGAGGGCGATCAGCAAATCCATCACTTTTTTGTATAGCTAATACCGGAGCACATAACGATTTCATTAACTCCTGTGAAAAAAAAAAAACAAAATATAGTAAAAGTAATTACATCAATTGCTATGCACAACAACGAAAGATTGCTTATGCTTATAAGCATCCAATTTTTTTAATAGCAAACTTTATTTATTTTGTGTTATATAAGACCTTCCACATCTTCTTCCCGACATTTCATCATAACTTCAAAGTATCTTTCAAAACTTCAACTACGAGAACACTTTTTTCATCGCCTCAATTTATGGGCCATATTAAATAAAGTCCATTTGAGTCTCGATTTGTCGAGAATCGTCAAGACATGGATTATATCCAGCTCAAGGTTGGAATATGTTCTAGAGTAGGCCACCAGTGATGATTTAATCTTATCATACTCTACCTTTAGCTTTATTCTGGTGGATTTATCTAAAAGAACACAATATGCATGCCTTATGTATATATATATATATATGGGTTTTTACGATAAAGGTTGCGAAACTGATAAGAAAAAGTCGTAAACTTTTCTTTTTTTTTTAAAAAAAAAGATTATTTGCCAAGAGTAGAATTAATTTCTTGAGAAGGAAATCGAAAGCATAGGCTTTTTTCCAGTAAGAAATGTTCATAGCAGAATTGTACTGAAAGTAAAACTGTGTAAGATTAAGATAACTATTGAAATAAACAGCATATAATCCACAGAAGTGTGATTGATATCTTCAAATTCACAAAGCGTTGTGTGAATTCCAATATTATTTTTTTAACATTTGGAAGTATCGTAAATTTTGCTGCAGGATAACGATAAACAGTGGAAAAATGTCGCTGAAATCAATCGTTGGTCAGAGTAAGTCCTTCAATCCTCTATGGTCTATAATTGTAGTATTTTCATGTTGTTTGTGATTGTATCCTATTTTTAATTTCATTTATTTTTTTCATTTACACTCTTTTTCTCTAAGAGTTATGATCATAATTGAAGTTTCTAGCATAGAAAAATTGAAGCTTTGAATTTCTGATTTAGACGTAGACATGTATTTGGACAGGTAGAGAGCAGGAGTGAACTCATTCTGATTTTGTACCATCAATTAGTAATGCCGTTTAACTCAGTTGAATGTTTAACATTTATTAGCACATTTTAATAAATAAACAATATTTTCTATATGGTTATTTCGATTGCTTCTTCCTTTTTTTTCATCTACTCTCTGTGTAATATACTAGTGAATCACGTATCCACGCAATAATATATAAAGCGTTTCGTAAAATGTTCACTACAATGCCCATCAAACCGAAAAGCATCCTTTTGGTGGTTAAATTTAATTCTGCCACCGCTGTTACACAAATTTCACGCATCCTATCAATTGTATTTGTTTGCATTTCCAATTTTACTATCTAAAAGTATTTGTATTATTTTTTTTGTATGTCTCTGTGTCATATTTTTAGTTAAAGCCAATATGCCACCACTAAGTAATGCCTAATAAGTAGGAAGTTATAACGTCATTCCAAATTTTTAATTTGAGCAGTCCTTTTCATTTTCTTAAAATTGGGATTGAGTAATAAAAGTTCTTTTATTAAGTCGTTATAGATCTTCTCTGGAAGCAGTTAAACAGATGTTGGCTGATGCTTTCTTCTTTGAAAATCTTAATTCTTCTTAGCACACATCGATAAACTTGTCAAGAATATAATTAGATTGAATTATAAACGGTTAGAAAATGTGTTATTTTAAGTTTCACGGCAACACAACTAATTCCAGTGAATTTTGCTATCAAATTTCCATAATATTCAGTTGATTGCCCGCTTAATAACAATAGAATTTTTTTTTGGGAAAACTAAATAAAAAGTGTAACAATCGAGAATGCAATGAAAGGAAACGAACTTTTGTTTTCAGCATTTTTGTATCTTTGCTACTTTTCTTCCGAATTAGCTTTAATTCTTCCTCAAATTTCTGAATAACTGGATTGGCCATTCGTTTCGTCATGTCATCAGTATCTGCTTCTAATTCACATAAATTGGCCATTGCAGTAGTAAATGCTTCTTCTGCCTCCAACTCAATTTTCTTTCTGAAATTTTTTTGAAGTTAAATCAAAAGGTCATTTTACAGTGTTCATAGACATCGTATTGGTCCTTTTGAATTGATTCCTGAAGTAAATATTTTATCAATTTCTCAAGCTTTAAATGTTTAATAAATTCACTTTCTTACCTTCTCTGCATGCGTTCTTCAATTGTTTTTATATTTTTAACTTGTTCATAGACACCGTACTGGTCCTTTTGAATTGATTTTACTTCCGGATGTTGTGTATTTCTGGAAGTATAACTACTTTTCTTGCAGGAGATATAAATCAAATTGCAATCTCGCCTGAATGTGTTGTAACAAAAACGTACAAATATATGTTTTCATCCGTTTTAAACGATGATGTGTTCTCACTGGAATCTTCTGCCCTTTCCGCATCTTCCTTAAGTTCTTCACCAATACCTAGCGTTTTTCGCAACTCTTCATATTCTTTCTGAAGATCTTTTTTTTGTCTTTTTAAAAATTAATTTGTTGATGTTAGATATTAATTTTTTTAAATTAGATAGTATGAAGACAAAGGCAATATATAGTTATGTCAGTATTCACAAGTAGTGGAAAAGATTCTAAGATATGATAAGATGAAAATAGTAAAGAAGGGAAAAAAATTAGAAGGAAGGTGACCAAAGAAATTTAAAATTTAATTTACTTCTAATTTTTTGCGTTTCCTTTTTTTACTTTCATCGTTCCCCTCATTTGCCTCAATTTGCTTTCTTAGTTCATCGAGTCTAAAATTTCAAAGATCGTGGGCTCTTGATTTCATGACGATTTAGCAAAAATTCAATTCCAAACTTCCTGTTTCAAGTCTTTAATATAGCCGCTACAAATACTTCAAACATTAAAGAACCCTTTTTTAATTTTTTAATTGAAAGTGTGAATTTCAGATTTTCTTTGTTATTTACCTTTTTTCCTCTCTATTTCTATTTTCTTGCAACTTTTCTATCTCTTGTTTTAGTTTTTCATGATCTTCCTGAAAATAATCATCTATGATTAAAAACATCTTTATACGATCATAATCTATAATAAAGAAGTGCCTTGCATTCTGCTTCCTATTAGCTATTTATATTTTTCAAGACTTTATGATCCCTATTATCGAGAATTTTGTGTTAGCACTCTTTCGAATATTTCTGGTATATATGACCATCATGCCCACCTGTCTAGTTCATATCATTCCTCAAACTGAAATGAACCTGAAATGGAGGAACTTTTAGTCAAAAGTTTACAAAATATGAATGTTAGCGAACCTTCAAGCGTGCACATTTCCGTTGTTGCTGTGGATTTCCTTGTGAAAGCTTTTGAATTTCATTTGATATTTGTTGAAGTTCCCTTTGCTTGTGTTGAAGTCGTTTCATGAGTAAATGCTAGCGCGCCGCCGCTTCTAATAGTGTGGAGAATGTAGAAATGACTGAAAATGCTATAACCAAACGTATTTAATCGACATCAGTTCCACTACGTTCGAGTTGAGGAGCAAATTTGCGTGTTTCTAAGTTCTCATGCTTGTTATTTTTTGATAATCATTAAAAGCTAATATGATATTCGACGATTCAAACGATTTTTAGTCTATAAATTTCAAGTTTTTGATTGAGAATGACTCCAGAATTATGACATTGAACGAGTGGATTTATTAGTAACCAAAGCTTTCATGCTATTATTTAATAATTTCCATTTTTCATTATATAATACCGATTCACTTTATGTCTAGAATTGCTCAATGAGGTGATTCGACCATTACGACGAAGTGATAAAGGTGGTGGTTGGAATGTATTGGTGGTGGATCGTTTAGCAATGCGCATGCTTAGTGCATGTTGCAAGATGCACAATATCATGGACGAAGGTATTACAATTGTTGAGGATATCAACAAACGTCGAGAACCATTGGCTGTAAGTCCTGGTATTTAATTCAATAAAACAACATTCTCGAGAAGAAATGAAAATACTATTATATGTGATTTTAAAAAAGTTAATTTTAGAGTCTTGATGCCATTTATTTGATTGCTCCAACGAAGGATTCTGTTGACAAATTGATCGCAGATTTTACCTACAGTCGAAATCAATATCGATGTGCTCATGTATTCTTTACTGAAGGTATGATTATTTTTTTATGTATAGCTGAATTAACAGAGAAATATTGAAATTTATCCTGAACTAATGTTGTTGCAGTAATAAGAAAGATGAGGTTATATTTGCTGGTTAAAGATTTTGTAAAGCTTTGTCTCTTTTTTACATGGCTATTTGATGCGAAGAATGGTCTTTTAAAATTAGCTGCAAAGATTTTCAGTTTTATTATTTAAGTTTGAAAAAAGTAAATAAAAATTTTAGCATGTCCTGACCAGCTCTTTTCAACATTATCAAAAAGCCGTGCGGCGAAATACATTAAAACTCTGAAGGAAGTAAATATCGCTTTCACTCCATATGAATCACAGGTATGCATTTCTTAGCATAAATTTGTGTAGTATCAATTCAGTTTCATGACATCCCATCAGTGCATTAGTTCTTTAGTAAAAACGTTGAGCAATGGGTACTTTTCTGTATTATACCTTGAAATAGTAAAGGTTATGCAATATCTATTGCTCTGCCATTTTTGTGATCAAATTGGTTTTTAGTTTTAAGTGCTTCTTTGTGAATGTCGAAGGTTTTAACCTCTATTTTTTCGTTTTTCTTACGTAAAATTTCAAAAACTTCTTGCATATTGATAAAAAAATTTTAGGTGTATTCGCTGGATTCACCGGATACATTCTTTTTGTATTACAACGCACAAAAACAGGGTGGTTTAACGACCAATTTAGAACGCATTGCAGAACAGATTGCTACTGTTTGCGCAACACTTGGAGAATATCCACTTTTAAGGTACAATAATTTAAGCTGGTTAGCTGAACTGTTACTCATTTATATTTTTGAAAATATGCGGGAACTGTTTTTTCTTTTGAGCTTAAGAAAGAATAAAAATTCAAAATGCTATATTTGGAAAAATTAGTGGTCGGATCCGTATAAAAAATCAAGAAATTTACTCTTTTCTATCTTTCCTGAATATTTCATTTTCAGGTACCGAGCAGATTTTGAACGAAACGTTGAGTTGTCACATTTAGTGCAACAGAAACTTGATGCTTATAAAGCGGATGATCCCTCCATGGGAGAAGGTGCAGATAGGGCTCGTAGCCAACTCTTGATTCTCGATCGAGGCTTTGACGCTATCAGTCCGTTGCTTCATGAATTAACCTTGCAGGCAATGACATACGATCTTTTGGATATAGACAACGACGTTTATCGGTTAGTTTATGGAGTCAAAGTCTTTTATGTCATCTGCAATTATAGAAAATATTTTCTCAATTTACCTTCCAAATAATTATTTTGGTTCTGACTCGTTATTTTTAGATCAGTGGTACAGATATGGGATTTGAATACCGTTTTCTTAATATTTCAGTTACGAAACAGGTGGCAATGATAGCATTGATAAAGAGGTACTACTTGATGAAAACGATGATCTCTGGGTTGAAAATCGCCACAAACACATTGCTGTTGTTTCGCAAGAAGTTACAAAAGGGTTGAAAAAATTTTCCGAGAGTAATGCTGGCATGAAAGCTGATGCAAAAAGCATCAAAGGTTTATTTCTTATTCTACACGTTTCTTTTCTGCTTATGGTATATTTTTGCATATCTTTCTGAAAATTATCATTCTCATTGAAAGTCATCTTATTGTAAACTTGTATTTAGATCTGTCAATGATGATCAAGAAAATGCCGCAATACCAGAAAGAGTTGAATAAATTTAACACCCATTTTCACTTAGCAGAAGAATGTATGCGTAAGTATCAACAAGGAATCGATAAACTTTGTAAAGTCGAACAGGTATGTTGAAGCTTCAGTCCAAATTTTATGTTCATACTTCTTATATAAAATCATTTTTAGGACCTGGCAATGCAGGTTGATGCAGAAGGTGAGCGAGTAAAAGATCCTATGAAGTTAATGGTACCGTTACTAATTGACCCAGCAGTTGAACCACCCGACCGTCTTCGGCTTATTTTACTTTATATTTTGTCGAAAAACGGTTCGGTTTTAAAAATACTTTATTGGCAATTGCTTTCCTTATTGTTTCTGAAGAAAATCTGATTTTAAGAACTAGTTATGGTTGAGAATTTGAATACAAAACAAGCTATATGCAAACCTTCAATCTTTATATTTTATATGTTTGAGGTATTACGGAGGAAAATTTGGATAAACTTCTTCAACATGCGAATATTGACGCGATGGAGAAAGATACACTGGTGAATGCAATGTTTTTGGGTTTGAATATAATTACAGATGTGAGTTGCAAGATGTATGGATTTTTCATTTACCTAATTGTAGATGTATTTAGTCTGCGATCTTCCACAAATTACAGTTTTGAACTTTTAGCAAGGACGCAAGAGATTTTGGACACCGAGTCGTAAAGAACGTGCCAATGAACAGTTTTACCAATCTTCTCGATGGGTTCCGGTTTTGAAAGACATTTTGGAGGATGCGATAGACGATAGACTTGATATGAAGCATTTTCCATTTCTAGCTGGACGACAAGCCACTCCAACATATCGCCCACCAACCAGGTTTTTTATTCAGATTTTCGAATATCTTAATATGTATTCCCTCAGATTATTCAAAAGTTCAAGTTCATTTAATCGGAAAGCTTGTAATCTTTCTTTTTCCATTTTTCTCCTTCCCGTCATGCTTTTCTCTTATTGAATGGTTGAAGACTTTTATTTTCAACCGTTTTATCCTACATTAATTGTTCATTTAGTGCTCGATATGGTCAGTGGCATAAAGAACGTGGACATCAGACATCGTACCGCTCGGGACCTCGCTTAATTGTTTTTGTAGTGGGTGGAGTAACATATTCAGAAATGAGAGTTGCTTACGAAGTCACGAAAGATAAGAAACCGTGGGAAATTATCATTGGTAGGATCGAATGATTCGTATTTTATTTTTCACTAACTTTTAGACTTCAAGTCACTCACGAGTTACAAATTATTTCCATCTTTTGTTTCAGGATCAGACCAGTTGATAAATCCGGCAGCTTTCCTGGAAAACCTTCGGGGGCTCAATAAACCTCGCAATAACTGAAAAGGCGACTTTTAAAAGTAGTCATCTTCAGCTGTGAATTTGTACTATAATTCAGAAAATTTTATTCTGGGTTTCGTTTCTTACATTTTGGTGCAAGTTATCTGGAATAAGTTCATTTTAGATATTTCAACAAAATGTCAAAAATGTGATTTAAGACGAAATTTTCCATTCGCATGAGTTTTGCATATGCTATGTAAATTTGCAGTCAAACATGCTTAATAGATATAGGGAGTAAAATATTGATGGATGGTATGGAGAATATAATACCCTATTTCATAGCATTTATGGCAAGATATAAGAGAAAGAATAAGTCTAAGAAGTGAATAAATGTTGAGAGATCTAGGTGTAAATATTTTTAATTCCTGTTAGTTAATCTGCAACATATTTATGTGATTACATATATATCCACAAAGTAATAATTTCATAGCTTTAGTAAATGGTTCAACCATAATGCAAGATTTTATTTTCATTAGATTTTACATGACATGTTGAAACTTGATTCAGACTCAAGTTTGATAAATTTAAGGTTATTTCGAACCATTTTTTTTTTGTTTTAGAAAAAATTAAAACCCCTGTGCACTATTACTACGGCCATCAAAGCTCAACCATTTACAGTTTTAAATTTCTTGAGGCAAAACTGTAACTAGCAAACGATTATGTGCTGAATTCTATTGCATTTCGTAATATTTCCAAATCCTTTTATAAAAAATCTCAATGAGTTTTGATTTTGCACTTGCTGTCATATATTCCCCACATTATCAACTTTTCCAAATATGATTTACATGTATCATTATTGTAACGTGTTGTGGTGGTTGTGATATGTCTATTTCTGTTTTGTCTTGTTGTTTGTATTTTGTTTATTTATTTGCTCCCATAGCTTCCTATGATTCATATTGCGAGATTAAGGATTAGAAGTTGTTATTCACATTCGCCTTATCATCATCTTTCGCTGTTGAATAAGTTGAACTTAGTGGCCTTTTGAAATTAAAGTTTTCTGAACGTAGCTCTAAAAATCTATAATTTTTGAAGTGAATGTTCAGTGCTTTTATAATATTGCTTTAATACTAGTCTCTAATTTTTCAAGAACTTGAAAGCTTTCTGGATACTGAGGAAAAGCAATGGGAGAGTCTTTACTTGGTAAAGTATATATTGTTATATTGAAAACATTCCAGTGATTTACCAAGCTTCATTCAACTATTCATAAAGTATTACCCGCATATTGTCGAAGTTTGATTTTTAACTTCTCTAATGAAGAAATTCTACCCTGAGAATTATTTGTAGAAACATTTACACACTGTCAACATCCAATACATATGATTTAACCGACTTGCTGGTATTCCATATATTTCAACAATATGTATGCTCGAAACATATATACAATATGTATGTTCGTATGTTTTTTTCTTGTTTTTTAATTTGGCTAGCGGGAATAATAATCCGAAAGTTGCTTATACTTATTAGCTGGAAAAATTTACCTTGGTCATGAGCGGCATTCTTTTTTTAAATATAGAGATGATGCAGCATCCCGTGTTTATTCCTGTTTTCTGTGAAAAAGTTCTTTAAAAGGAACTTTCTAGTTTCACTTCCAAGTACTCTTATCTCTTTTCAATTATATTTTATCTGAGTTAAATTAAGATGAGTGTGTTCTTTAAAATTATACTTTTATTTATAGCCTGAACGGCGAAAGCCAGCTTGCTAATCACTCATCTAAATGCACGCTGCCAGTTTTACAAAAAGTTACAGTTCATCTTTATTTTCCATAAAATAATTCTGAGCAAAAAATGATGAAGATCTTGGAACGCTTGACGCATACTTCCTCTGCCGATATATAAATGCGCTTAAAGTGGACACACAATTGCCAATAAAATGATCTGCTATTGAAATGATCGCTAAATTTACATGTAGATTTTCGGGATATCGACGCTGCACAACAATCTGAAAGAATTGGAATTTCTCATTGTTTTTTTGTTAAAAGTTATAGCATTATAAAACTATATATTCCCACAAAACGGTTGATATCAGTCTGCCATGAAAAAATCTAATGCTATAATTTAATTTTTTACCGTAGAAATATCATAAATGGTTGTCATCAAGCTACTGTAATCTTAACAAAAAAGTTCAAACAAGATTCATATGTTCATATTTTTTCTTTTATTAGAAAACCATATTTACCCGTAAAAAAGCCAATTCTTGTCTTAATTCATCGATATAATGATTTCGATCACTTGATACGAATACTGATCGTGCTTTCAACTCTGATGCTTTCTTCGCAACCTCAAAGTTACTACCTTTCAGTGTCCTATGAAATAAAAGGTATAATGGTAACTCAAGATAACTGCATGAAATCAGAAAATTAAAGTTTTTTTTTTAATTTGAGACATACTGTTCACATAGTTCATTTTACTTACGCATTTTTAAGTATAAAGTGGCTAAAACAATCAAAATTTCACATCTTTGATGATTGTTTTCAATGAAGGTAGACACATTTCGACAGTTAATTTGCTGCTGTCACCAGTACAAATTGCTGAACCAAATAATTTCTCAGTTTCATTCTTATATACCATTCGACATAAATTTTCCTGCGAACAAGCAAATTAATTCTTACACAGACAAACAAATTTAGCGCAAAAGAGAATTTGTATGACTTGATACTGCTGAAGCTATGTCTCATATTTGTAGAATTTTTCATCTAAGAAGTTTCCTTAGCTTCAATAGAATCGTATACTATTTCTTAAGTCAAAATTTTAAAATATAATGCTGAAATCCAGCTTTGTAAGACTTACCCAGTCTACGTCATTCCGCAAGTGAATACCAATAAATGGTCTTTCAAGTGATTTTGCTACATATTTACTAGCCTCTGCCACAATTTTTTTTGACCAATGAAGATATCTCTGCAAGTGGTGATGATCTGTTCGTGCTGGAAATGCTGCCGGAGCCGAAATGAATGATAAAACTGGATATCGATCAGCTGGAAATCTGAAAAAAAAATGCAGATTTCTGTAAAAATAACCTATGACTGTTGCAACAATGTTTTATTATAACATCAGATAATTTATTACAAAAAGATTGTCGTCTGCCCCTACCAACACTTTTTTAAATTGTAACTTCCTTTGAAATACTAATAAAATACTGAACTTACGGATAATTCATACGCAATGCTTACTTCTCGTCCCACTTTTTTCGAACTCTCGCCAAGTTAATTAAATGAGCCTCAGGAAAATCTGAAGCGTAATAAATATCGTCCATAAAACTTATATTCGAATAATCCCAAAATGCACCAAATGGATTTCCCTCTTTGGCATGACATCCGGATGATTTCCTTGTATCATAGATACTTTGACGCGGTTGCCAACAAAATGCTGAAGCCTTGCAGTTTTACACTTTTTAAACGATAAAAGGATATACTAATCATTTTTAACAGATTTGATAAGGTGGCGAGGATCTAACTAGAAATAAGGAGAATTCAAAAGACTACATTTAGAATATGGCAAAAAAAAAATCAATTACAGTCAGAATTTTACCTTTCCTTTCATTCGGTGGCCAAATATTTGGTGCGATTTTCTTGATAAAATCACGCATAACAATCACTTTATGAAAGTTACGTAGAGGTTCAACCAAAAAATATTTGTCAAAATCAACCATGACCTAAACAAAAACTTTCCTGAGCTAATTTTCAAAAACAAAATACAAAATCATATCTAAGACTACAGTTGCACTTCCATAGTTCTAAACCTGCTTTATATATATATATATATAAAACAAAACTCACAGGTTGCCTTTTTTCGAGATAGTATTCAACGAATGGAGGTAAAACTAAAGTTCTATTAATAGCTTTCGCAAATGCCAACATGCCGAGAAAATGTTCCATTTGATTACCAAATCTACCCATGCATGGGCAGTACACTACATATCCGGCAGCAGAAGTGAAATCATTAACCCGTAATAAAGTGATAAAGTAAAAGAATATAAAAAGTGACAAGGACATTCTAATCTCGACTGACAAGATTCCTGAACAAATAAAAACAGCTAGTTTTGCTGGATAAATAAGAAACTATGCAAATAATGTAAATATTTTGAGCAGAAAAAGTACAACATCCCAATATCCACATGCAAGAAGATGAGAGTTCCAGAATGAAGAAATGTTTCCGTATCCTAGACTGCACTCTCTTTTCCTCATAAGTTAACTTTAAAAAGTTCCAAGATGATCTTTAGCAAGCTATTATGTACAACTACTGATGGTCTTCCCTAATTATGAAAAAGTAACGAAGTGATGAGAGAAAATCTTTATTATAAATAAATGATTACGGCATGGTTAGCTTTAAGTTACAATGTAGAATATACACTAAAAAATAGCACCTAAGTCGAAAACCACCACATACACTGAGCAAAGAAATTCTTTTTGAGTTTAGGATTATCAACTAATATTCAATTTTTCACAAGTATAAAGTCATTTGAAAATTTAAAAACAAAGAATTCATGAAAGCAGAAAACAAAGTGATAAACAAAGAACACCTACAGCAGCACGAACAAAAGAATAATAAAAAACAATATTATGGACAATACAATAATCGCCATCCACTGCCTCTTATCTGAAATTCCCAGAATTCAGTGCATTTTAGCTCCAATTCTTGCGATCCTGCTAAACAGTATATTTATTATTTTTCTAAAAAATTTTTGGACTGGAAAAATACTTTATTTATAAAATTCCCGTAATACATATACACTTCACTATTCAAAGAGTTTGCAATAAAAATGATTCAAACACACCATCGTTCATATTGGTCACTTTAGCAATTTTTTTCATCATTTCATCCAGTTTTATCCCTGTCCGTTCCATATCTGTACTCAAATCATCCAACATTCTAAAAAAATAAAGGAGTTGGAAGAAATTGGTACTTTTTATAACAAATGTCATTGATGACTAGAAAGAAAAAAGATTACATTGATTGCTCTTCGAGTTCTGTTCCAATTCGACTACTCATATTTTTTAGTACTTGTACAGAATCGCCTACTTTTTCCAGGTCTCTGTCCTGATCAGTCAATATTATCTGAAAATAGCACATATTGTAAATTATTAATTGGATAAAAATAAGCAGCATACAAGAAGATCCACTATCATATACAAAAAATATTTCAAAAAAGAATTTACGAATAGTAATAACGATTTTTCATATTTCGCGCAGTGATACTTCATTTTTTGTGAGTCAAAAAAGTTTTTGGCAAAATTTTGTAAAAGATTCATGAACAAACCTGTTGCTTTTGTATGGTATTAGCAATGAATTCTGCTGAAGACGAAGGTAAATCATCCAATCGTGTGTATCGATAACCGCTATCAGTTAAGGAAGTCATCTACAAAAAATATATCAGATATAATTGTTATTGACAACCAACTCAAATCATTTAATTCAAAACATAGTTAAAAACGGTCTCTCTCATTCACTAAACATTTTTGGCTTCAAGCAAGCATGAAATTATTTTATTAATTTTTAAAAACATTCAAAATTAATTTAAGTCTTATCAACCCAAAAAATGAAATGAAATATAACATGAGAACATAGCAAAATCCTTCCAAATTTTATTAAAATTATTAAGAATCACGATTTTAAGGAATATGTTAAATGAAGGACTTTGGAGAAAGTCAAGATATCAAAAAGTTTCCTGATAAGTTTTCAGTCGTTGCAAAAATTACCACTTTCAATTATTACATTTCTGCTTATTCAAATCATTAGGCGAATGAATTAATTTCAATATTGTATGCTGTTACGAGTTTCAATTAACAATTAGTAACATTCTTTATTGAAAATATCTGAAAACGATTTCGATTCAGCGATACTAACCAAAAGCTGTCACACATTTTTATTTTCCAAGCTTTGACTTACTTAAACTATAAAGTAATTTTGTCGGCATTCCTAGCAAATGTATCGAGTCAATTATGGACAACTCACTTTAGCAATTTTCTCCTATTTTCAACAAGTGAATATGATATGTGTGTCGGTATGATTGATTAAAATTTCAATCTTCTAAAAAGAAATTTCCAATTACTCCTTCAAAATTTACATGATATACGCAATTTAGCGCATAATGCATGTAAGACCAATAAATTCTATATCTCTCCGAGATGCCATTCATTTCAATAGTTTCATTCTCAAATTATAAATACCTGACATTTATGCAGACAGGAAAAAAAGAAAAAAAAGAAAACGAAAATTACCAGTTATTTGCGAACTTCAAAAACTTCATTACATATTCATGGGAGATAAAAAATGAATAAAGCCTTCGTTCATAAATTTAGCATCGCTCATGACATATATTAAAGACAAGAAGGTAAAACCAACTCGACAAACAGCCATATAAAAAAGCCTTTTTGGTATTTCGATTTTCAAATGCAAAAATCCGGACAGACATAACCTAATCAAATGATAAAATCAATCATACCCTACGAATTCAAGCCTGATAAAATTCGGCGCTAGTGAACTGATAACTCTCAAGCTTAGACAGTACCGCTTCTCGATGGTTGATCTTAATGAAGGCCCTAAGAATGGAATGCAATACATAAATCTCAGCAGCCTATCATTCTCAATTAATTTTCCTCATTGCGATGAAAACTTCTCCTTTATTAGCTATTTTAACATGAAAATAGCTAATAAAAGCATAAGCATTGATTGACTAACTTCAAGAATGGCCCATGATCTCGAGAAAAATTAACTTACTTAATAAAATTTATTTCTTATCAATGAGAAATGTGATATTACTTTTGTTAATTATTATACTGAATTGTTTAATCAGTACGTGAATAAATTTATTTTTCATAACAGTAATTTCTGCTAAAGAATTTTTTTTATAATAATTTAATAAATTTATTCACTTTTTGAATGGTTAGGTTGAAAATTATCAATGATGAATGCAAAAAGCACCCTTAATCATATTGCTTCATGTATTAGTTAGCCGATTGACCTATTTATTGCTTGAGCCATTAGCAAGAGTAGGCTTTTAAAAAGAGTAAACGAATACTCTCATATATTGCTATTGCTATGGTAACACATGAGATGCTAAAGCCTTAAGCTAAACAATAATTCTTTCGTTTTCATCTTTCTCCTCTCTAATCTACATGTTAGTATGATCTAAGTAAAAATAGAAATTTTATACAAATAATTTGTAAATGGTATTCGGAAATTGAGCTCACTATAAGTGATAATTTTTCCTTAGCATTATCAAATGATCTTTTGCATTTATTTGCTTATCCAAATAAATGTAAAAGGTCATGTGAAAACTTATTTGGTTACCTAAACAAGTCTACAAGGTCATATAATAAGATTACTTTGAACATTTTTTGGAAATTAAAATCCATCAAATTTTTGACATCTCAATTTGATAATTAATCAATTTTGTATATAATTGAAATTTTTCTTCTTCCCATGCTTCAAATCTTTTGAATGTTTTACAGTAATCAATTCTTGAATATGAAATTTTCCTCAGATTCGATGGCAACAGAATTACAAACGATTATAGATGGTTTAAATGATGAACCGTTTAAAATGAATTTAAATTTGATCAGTTTCAATACGATATCCAATGAACAATTATTACAAATTCTAAGTGACGTGCTATTATGGATCGAAGGATTAGATACAATTGATATTCGTGAAGAAGGCGTTGATGTCACGGCAATTCGTATATTCAATTCACTTTGTGTTCTCAAATATCGTCCACCAAATGATATCGAAAAATTGTAAGATAAATAATTTACATAAACTTTTACATATCATAAATTT